GATATTAATTTCAGCTATGTTACCTTAACGTTTCTGGGGAAAAGGATCTTGATAAATGGAGAAGACAGTCGGATAATAAAGTGATCCCATAAGGTGTCCGTTTTTCTTTTCAAGGCACAGAACACTTAAACAAACAGCCTTTTACATTTTTAATTTTAGTGCATGGATTATTTTGTGTTAATTAAAATATGTGTTTTCTAATTAAAAAACTAACAGCTCCGCAGTGTCCTATCTTGGAATCTCGCTATAAAATTCACTATCGGCCGGTCATCGACCCGTTTCACTTGTTTTCCAATTCACATGCGCTCAGGATGTCACAGACTGCGAGAGGCTACTGGTTATAATTAATCTATGTTTTTAAATTAATTGTTAGTTCGCACAGTGCTATTCATATATCTTTAATGATCATAATAAGGTACAGTTTTTTTTTTTATGTTAATGGGTGAAAATGGTATGGTAACCCCGCCTGCGCTAACGGGATACGCTGGCGGAGCACCAGTGAAGGGTGATAGATGAGAATGAAAACAGGCCAGTTAGCCCATCATGGTGAATTCAACAAGAATTAACCATGATAGTTTCCAGGAGGAACCGCGAGGAGGTCGACCTGGTTGGGTATATTGCTAGCAATGCGATTCTTAGTCTCCATTACCAACAATCCCTTTCCCCCCAACAAGGTACAGTCGGCAGCATGTATAGTGCTGTGTATTCGAATTGTCAAGCGACTTCTATTTATTACTTCATAACTCCGTCAGTTGTAGACCGATTTGAAAAAAAATTTTTTATCTGATATGATATTATAATACGTACAGTGTTGAGGTTTTATTTATATTACTTTTAAAAATAGAATTTATTTATTTTCTTTTTCTGTCAATGAATATTTTGTTTATTTAAAGCACGTCATTTTTAAACATCACTATTATTGTACTAGGGAAAGATATAATATATCTTTATTCAGTATTTTCTATTTTTTTGTTCTATCCAATATCCCTTCACATACAGCTTGGTCCCATGAAATGATATAAAAAAATTATTTGCTATAAACAGAAATTTAACATACCTAATAAAAGCCATGTGACAGAACTTTTTGGCATTTGTTTAATTACCTTAAAATTGTAGGCATGCAAATTTGATGTAGGAGTTAAACATTAAAATACAATATTAAAATTTGTGATGAATGAAAAAAATTCAAAACAAACCAATAAATTTGTGTATGTATCTATACACAGTCAGTTATGCGGATTACCATAATCATGATTAACTGACCTGTCTGGGGGGAAAAGGATTGTTAATAATGGAGTTTGACAGCCCCATAGCTAGCAATATGCCCTATTAGGTCGACCTTCACGTGGTTCCCCCTGGAAACCACCGTGAACAATTCTTGTTGAATTCGTCACGATGGGCTAACTGACCTGCTTCATCCTCACCTATCATCCTTCACTGGGGCCCCGCCGGTGTATACCAATAGCACAGGTGGGGTTACCATCCCATTATCACCCATTAAAAAAAACCGACTTCCTTTTTCATTCTCATCTATCACCCCTCACTGGTGCCCTGTCAGCGTATACTGACAGCGCAGGCGTGGTAACCATTTATTTCATCCATTAAAAGAAATATCTTTCTCAAATGGTAACTTACAAGTATATAAATGCATTATTTTAGAATGGCTTGGACCAATTTAGTTAATTATTTAATTTTTTTTGTAGTATTTGTCATTTTCAGAACAAGGTTTGTATCAAAGAAAGTCTTTGAAAATTAAAAAACTAAACTCGTGCGAAGTCAAGGAATTTAGCTAGCTTATAAGAGAATCGTGACTGCACGTGATATTGCTACCTGTCTGTCTACCCAGCTACCAGCTACCAAATGAAGTTAAAAATAAACCTGCATAAAATTCCATGCGGGATCTCCATAAAGCATAGACAATGGGTCCATAAAGGGACCACATAAGCTCTTGCGGCGGTACTGAACTGTCTGGACGCTGTCCGGTTTAATACCAAGTAATATATTAACTTTGTTAGCTATTTTTTCTTTCCGCGACTGCGTTCGAGTAGTTCTCGATTGTAATTTGTAATTTTTTAATCACAATAAACTATTATTGTTAGATATTTATAATTTTATTTATCTATACTTTGTTATACACTTTCTCCTTTCTGGTTCTCAAAGTTTTTTTTTTATACAACTCAGAATGACAAACAAGCTGACGGCCCACCTGATGGAAAGCGGTAACCGTCACCTATAGACATGAGCAGTACCGTGGACATAACTGAGTATACTGTTTCGCCCATGATAACCCCCATGCGTTGCCATTCCTGAGGACTCAGATGATATTTCTCTGTACCCAGTAAATTCACGCCATATTCCACCCTTCAAACCGAAACACAGCCATGCAAACAACTGCTTCATGGTTGAAACACGAATGGGACAGAGGTGCCCAAGCAATCGACTTTTGTACAAAGTTGACTGGAAGAAATCCCTTTAAGAGAAAAGTCCGCCTGTGTACATTTTTGTAATAACCTAATATGTATACTATAAGTAAATGTACAAAAGCATATTTTATGCTTTATTCTATTTATTACTGTTCTGTTATGTAGTCTCCCTTTTATCAGAACCACATTGACAGAATAGAAGCAATTCAAAAACGCTTTGTTAGATTCTTAAGCACTAGGTTTGGTCTGAGAAGGAAACTTCATTCGTATGAATTAAGACTTAATCATTTTAACATTAATTCTCTTATAAATAGAAGATCTATGTCTGATTTCATTGCTCTCTATAGAATAATAAACTATAAATGGGACACTAGCACATTGTTGAGCCTTGTTTCATTTCGTACAGGTAATAAAAGAATACAAAAATTATTTTATATACCCATTTGTAATAATAATGTATCGTATCACAATCCAATTATCCGCATGTGCAGAAAATAAAACAATGTATGCAAGGAGCTTGATATTTTTTAACAATCCTTGCAATTAGAGGACTCGATCCCGGGATCTCGAAACCGGGATCCCGGGATCCCGGTCGAAATTTCGGTCCCGAAAATCTCGGGATTTTATATAACGAATCCTGGGATTTTCGGGATTAACAAAAATTTTTACGAATTAATATATTTAATTTTTTTGCGTGAAATAAAATGCATTTATTGTCTATTTGATATTTATTGGTCATCTTGGATAAACAGCTCATTGATTGAATTACTTTGCGACGGCGTTGTGTGTGAATGTGTACAAAAGTTCGTCTTCACGGCGTTGTGTGTATGTAAGTATTATTAAACTATATTATTATGGTGATAATTAGAGAAACAATGTTGTATTATGAAAGAATAAAGAGTAATTTAATGAAAACATGTTAAAAATAACAAATATTCATTTCCTAGGTTATGTTGTTCTTATTAAATTTATTCCATAGTGAAAGGCGTAGAGTAGGGGACTAAAATCCATACAGCCTAATCTTATTTAATTTCTTGAATCCTCTTTGTTATTGGAGGTCTTAATTTTTCTTTCTGTTTTAGGCTACTAAAATATTGCTGTCTAAAGAAAGTTTTTCTATCAGACACAAAAAAAATGGTTTGTGTGGAGTCATTTCGTAGTCGAAAAACAGGGTAACGACATTTTTAAAATTATTAAGAAAGAAATAAATCTACTTGAGGCAAGTTTCATTCGAGACTACAATTTGGAACAAGCCTATACTTATATTATTTATTGACAATTCCTCCAACTTCAATCGAGCCTGAACGCGCTTTCTCAGCTTCTGCATATATGTCCAACAAACTCAGAAGCAGGCTTGGAGACATTGGACGCGTTATTATTTTTAAGATTTTATTTTTGCAATACATAAGTAGTCTATTTTAAATATAAAACGTGATTACTGATCTCTCTGGAATAAAACAAAATACGTATTGTTAATTATTTTTCTAGGTTTCTCTGAGTCTAACAAAGTTGATTTTCTCTAATTTTTAGTAAATATGTATTACAATTTGTAAACTGCAAATATTAGTCTTTAACGAAATTAGAAACATAATTTTGTTTAATATAGCCTTAAAATGAAACTATTATCTATTACCAAAATAAAAATAGAATGATTGAAAATAATTTACTGACTTTTTATTGCTACTGCATTCCTAAATTGGTCCCGGGATCGATCCCGGTATTATCTTTCAGTAATCCCGAAATCCCGGGATTAAAAAAACCAGTCGGGATCGTATTCTCTACTTGCAATGTTACATTGAGGCTGCCAATTTGTTACTTTAAATTTATAGCCGTCATTCTTTTAATGTATATAATATCGAATGTTATGCAGAGCAGTTAGAGTGCAAATTTATGTTTTATGTGATATTTATTTTATTAATGCATTAATTTGTAATCTGTTGCCTTGCTGTAAATAAATAAATAAATTGTACACAAAAAATTACAAACGTAATTTATATAAAATAAAGATGTACAATAAGCGTGTTTAACTCTGTAAGAGTTCTCTTCCAGCAAACCCTGAGTGGAAAGGAGTATTAATTACCAGCGGGCAGTTAAGGCATCTAAATAAATTTATATTTATTATGATTAAAAATTTACTTCATTGATATAACATAATACTATTAATGTAATAAATACAAAAGTTTGTAACCATGAATTAATGAATGTTTGTTGCTCTTTCACGGAAAAACTACAGAACGGATTTGAATAGAATTTGGTACATAAGTAGGTTATATCCTAACTTGACTTATAGGATACTTTTTATACTGGTACATGCGGCCAGAGCCGCGGGATACAGGTAGTATTAAATAACAATAACACACTTTAAAATACTTTTATTAATTTAATAAACAATCTTGCCATTTTTTTTTGTTTAAATAAAACGGACAATAAAATAAATTAATGTAAAAAATAATAATAATTAGGAACTATTTCAACTAAGTTTTTAAAGTAAACAAATAAATAAATTAATGTTTTATTTAATAATTTAATTTGATTATTTATTTAATTTGTTGAGAGTGAAACATCTTTTTTTTTTATAAAACTTAGAACGGCAAACAAGCTGACGGCCCACCTGATGGAACTGCTATATTTATTTTGCTTTATAATTTCTGCATCTTTTTAATGCGTAAACACTCATTTTATATATTAAATAATACGTCAAGAGACTGATAAAAAAAGACGATCACGTCACAGTTTGACAGTCAGCCCTATTTATGTAATCTAAAATTACATCCAGTACCACCATTTGTAATAAGGTACGAAATTCGCCCACCTGATGATTCTGTTGGTCGGCTCCCATTCGTCTGTGGTCTCCGTGCGGTGGAAAGGGTTCGGAATCTTTCTGGGGCGCTCCTCCTTACCGTATAGCGTCAGCTCGATGGTGGCCCGGAACGAGAAGTAGAATCGGAACTCGATAAACGCGGTCGATTTGAAATACAGGAAACATTGGATCCTGTTGGAATTCCATAAGAAGTCAGTTACGATGTCATATCGGTTCGGAAATACTGCTGCTGAAAGTTGATTCCAAAGGGTGGTTGTGCGTGGAAGAAAGTGCCTTGAAAAACGCACGGTGGAGGTCTCTTAAATAGTGTTTTAGGGGAAAAATTAAATACATTCACACTCGAGACTCCCGTGAACTCAGTATAAATAGCTTCGACCAGTGACTTTGTCCGCATAACCAAAATATGTTAACTAGACGAGATAAAAAGTAAACGACGTACTTTTGCAATCTATAAATATAGTGCATGTATACCAAACCTTTTAAATGATTTATTTATTTATTTACTCTTTATTGCAGTAATTAAAGAATAATACAAAGATATCTTTGTAAAATAAGATGTTTTTGTAGCGACGCTGCTGCCCATTCCTCGCCCTCCCTTAGTCGTCTCTTACGACACCCACGGGAAAGGAAGGGGTGTCCTATTCTATGCCGGGACCGCATGGCAATATATCATAATTCCCAAATAAAGTTTGACCTTCTATAATCGGGGCCCTCGTTCATGCCATGCATCAGGCCCGACACGTCTCTGTGACAGTGGTGTTCCACCCAGACGGCTGCGTTGGAACGCGCGGTCGTCTCCACGTTCACTATTGCGCACAGGAAGCCCGCTATCTGTGATACTGCCACCTGCAAATAAAATAGATTCTTTCCAAGGCGAAACCTCAAATTAAAAACACTTTTATACTTAATGGGGTATATTCGTAATTAGCGTTTTATTTATTTATTTAACTCTTATTGCACCATAAATAAAAATATACAATGACAAGTGAATAATTCAAGTGAAATACAGTAACATAAATACACATTGAAGTATACACATAAAGGTACAAAAGGCGGTCTTATCGCTAGGGCAATCTCTTACAGACAACCTTTGGAGAACAGATAGAAGTGGGTAGGTGGCGCAAGAGTGAATTAATATATTTTTTATGTTTTAATGTGTGATAATGGAATGGTAACCTGCCTGCGCTATCGGTATACACTGGCGGGACACCATTGAGAGATGATATGTGAGGAGGAAGCAGGTCAGTTGGCTAACTAGCTGACCAAAATCCACACGTATGATGAGAAAGCAAAAACTTATTTTAGAAAAAAGAAAATATTTAGAACTCAAAATATATTTATACAAGTATAATATATTCGTAATAATATAATCCTTTGACATTTTTTGATGTCTTAACTTCTGTATTCCTTAAATTGACTTGATAAATAAAAAAAAATTGTGTTCACCTGGTGGGTTTTATAGGAGACAAATCGAGGTGTGGCAGGAATAACGAAAGGATGTAAGGACTCGCCGTCTTGACGTGGGCTATTATATGATGTCTTGTGCGGGCGCCTTGATTCCTTCCGTCACTTTGTCACCAATGTACACACACAATATTGTCTACAAACACAGCACTTCAAATTATGGAAAGCGGTAACCACATTTACAGTACAACACTGTTATTAGTATTTTTTATACGTAATTGCTCGTTGATTGCGGAGGTCACATTGACGGTTAAGATTGAAGACAGCTCTGAAGTTTCTTATAATCCTCCAGCGTCCTCATTGGTTGTTGTAACTCGGAGGTAAAGACGATGACGGTGATTGGATAGGATAGGATCAAGGGAAATTAATTTAGCACTAGGTACCTATTATTATTATTATTATTGATTTAGCATAAAAATCATTATTAATAAGAATAAATTTATAATAATATTATTACGAAAAATATATAAAATTAAAGAAACACGCGCGAACATGGCCAGATTTAAACTGTGGATAGTTACAAAATAGAACCCCTGCCCGAAGTTCTTGGTCATCACGATCTCAGACGTGTCCTTGTACAGCACACCGCCACGTTTGCCTCGCTCGCAGTATCCGTGCTCCGTGGGTATGATGGTGTCACCTGAACAAACCAAAGTTTTGTTTTATGCTTATTATATTTTTTTATACTTAACACCACCAATATGATGACCGTAAACAAACTTGGACATCCTAGTATACACTACGATGCCCATAGTACCCCTCATGTGTTAATAAAGAAAAATATTGTTATAACAATGTTAGTAAAGAAAAATATATAGTAATTAAAATCAGCATGTCAGAGGGAGACTTTGTACAAAAGTCGATTGCTTGGGTAGCTCTGTCCTATTTGTGTTTCAACCGTGAAGCAGTTGTGTTTGCATGGCTGTGTTTCGGTTTGAACGGTGGGATAGGGGCGTGAATTTACAGGGTACAGAGGAATAACACCTGAGTCCTCAGGAATGGCAACGCATGGTACCCCATGGGCGAAACAGTATACTCTGTTATGTCCATGGTACTGCTCATGTCTATAGGCGACGGTTACCACTTTCCATCAGGTGGGCCGTCAGCTTGTTTGCCATTCTAAGTTGTATAAAAAAAATGTCAGTGTCATGTGAATAGATAGATGTTTATTAGTCTTTAACACAAAAACTACTAAACGAATTTGTAATACACTTAGCACAGAGGAGACTATTTACTGATTCACGCAGGCGAAGACGCGGGATATAGATTATTCTTGCAGACAAATCTACAGACTTTAACATAAGTCTTACTGCTTTTTTTCAATGGGTGAAAATGGTATGGTAACCCCGCCTGCGCTAACGGGATACGCTGGCGGAGCACCAGTGAAGGGTGATAGATGAGAATGAAAACGGGCCAGTTAGCCCATCATGATGAATTCATCAGGAATTAACCATGATAGTTTCTAGGCAGAACCGCGAGGAGGTCGACCTGGTTGGGTATATTGCTAGCAATGGGATTCTCAGTCTCCATTACTAACAATCCCTTTCCCCCCAAGTCTTACTGTTTGAAAACAAACATTTGTTCCTCTAACCTTTGTACATCATAAGTTTATACGGCGACAGTCTTCTAAAGTAGATTTTATGCATGTCAGTCATGTCGTCTGGGCTTAAATTGGAGACGACTTCGTCGATCCAAAACAGATAGTCATGTATGTTAATGAACCGAGCTGGAGCTCCACATCCTGGGCCTCTCACTCCAAAACCCAACTGAGAAATGTAAATAATATTTTTTATAAAACTTTGAATAGCTAATACGCTAGTTTTTTTTAATGGATGATAATGGAATGGTAACCCCACCCGCGCTATCGGTATATACCGACGGGGCACCAGTGAAGGATAATAGGTGAGGATGAAGCAGGTCAGTTAGCCCATCGCGACGAATTCAACAAGAATTGTTGACGATGGTTTCCAGGGAGATGCACGTGGAGATCGACCTAATAAGGGATATTGTTAGCAATGGGGCTGTCAAACTCCATTGCTAACAAACCCTTTCCTTTACTAGTCACTGTTATCCCTTTCCCCTGTAAATATATTATATACCTGAACGTTACATAGCTCACCAGTTTCCAGTAGCCCCAGGACTGCCGAGAAATAAGGGCAACCCCGCCGTCCCAAATACAAGAATCCGTTTGCATGAGTGACGCTGCGCAGATAGGGTTTGTAGGTGCCATCATTTTGTACGAGAGCTGGTGAGGAAAAAATATTTAAAAATCATTTGAAATAATATTAAAAAAAATTATTAACTGTAAAAAATACTTAAATTTAATGTTAAAAGGTTTATTAAAATACTAGCGGCCCGTTCCGGCTTCGCACGGGTGGACATATTTACAACATTTTATATTTTTATTTGATCCTACCTAGCTACCTATTTCATGAATAACAAGGTATCCTATTATATGAATAATATGGTTTAATTTTAGTCGGTATTTCTATCAACTTTTAAAATGTAAAAAGTGGTTATTGTGACCTAACGATAATAGTTGAACATACAGTATCGCAAAGTTTTTTGTACTTATTGATATTTTCTTCAATATTGTAGAACATACTTTTGTTCTATCACCAATAGTTTCCGCAGCGCACGCGACCAAAGATATTTTATAGATTTTTTTACACCTTGAGTTACGTTACTAAAGTTTTAGTAAGGATCCCTGATCTTTTCTGGCAATAAATATAACTTATGTTACTCAGGGTGAATGTATCTTACTAATGGTGAAAGAATTTTTGAAATCCACAAAGTAGTTTTTGAGTTTATTCATTACAAACATACATACACATAAAAATACAAATCTTTCCTCTTTATAATATATAAGTGTAGATGAATGCACGAAAAATGAAATTAGAAAGAAAGATACCAGAGGGAGATTTTGTACAAAAGTCGATTGCTTGGGTACCTCTGTCCCATTCGTGTTTCTACCGTGAAGCAGTTGTGTTCGCATAGCTGTGTTTCGGTTTGAAGGGTGGCATATGACAGAGAATTTACAGAGTACAGAAAATAACACCTGAGTCCTCAGGAATGGCAACGCATGGGAGATATCATGGGCGAAACAGTATACTCTATTATGTCCACGGTACTATTCATATCTATAGGCGACGGTTACTACTTTTCATCAGGTGGGCCGTCAGCTTGTTTGCCATTCTAAGTTGTATAAAAAAAAAGATATATATTTATTCAGTGCACATTAAAAAACACATAATAATAATTAAAACAAAAACATTTAACAATAAAAAAAATAATAAAAAGTATAAGCACTAAAATGGTGTCAATCAGATATATGCCATGTTTCAATCAAATAAAACAATAAAATATATTAAATGAAGTATTATAAAAACTATTATTCAATAGAGTTGGTAAATCGCAATGTTGAGGTTACACAATCGCTCCCGCCGCCGTCTAGAATTACAATTAGACATTAAATCAGCGAACGACATCACGTAACGTGCTTGTACTCGTAGATGTAATGGCGGACAACATCTGGACCTGGGAGGAAAGGGATTGTTAGCGATGGAGTTTGACAGCCCCATTGCTAGCAACATGCCTTATTAGGTCGACCTCCACGTTGTTTCTTGATTTAAAAATAAACAAAATAGAGTGGCAACACCCTACCGGCAAACGGAATGTAGGACGCTCCCATACTAGATGATCGCAGGCTGTTTAAAAATAATAAGACCTCGAAATATTCGTTTAACGTAGCGATGCACGACTGTACTAATCTAACTACTAATTATTCGACTGAACAATTCCTTTGGATTATTCGACTGATATTAATGTTGATAAAATTGTAAAAGATAAATTAATGATAAAGTAATACAATAACAAAATAATTAAATTATAGCTGCATTTTGTTTTAACAAAATTTTGGGGTCCCCCAATGAATTTACTCATCTTTATTGGGCCTAGATCCAATCTAGTTTGGACAACCCTGATCTACGGTAATGCATGCATGGAATCTGATAAATCTTACATTGGACTTTACTTTACATTGGAATCTTACATTGGCTTTATAATAAAATTCCGCGCAATCTTGGCTGTTAACGAAACTCATCTGGCGGATCTCTTTTTGTAGCTCACCAGACTCTGAAATGACAATAGTCGATTATCTTCTAGTTCTTACCGAGTGAGATGTAATCAGTGAGTTTTCTAGTAATTATTTTCTCATTTGCGTATGCGCATGGAAACTATTGTGGTGTGGTTGATAATTGAGCATGGTGAAAACGTATTTGAAAAAATTTTAATATACCAACATACATTTCTGACATTGATACTAATCATTAAATTAAATAACTTATCAAATTAAATCACAGAAATAAATAATAAAACAAATTTAGAAGATTTAACGCGAAATTATTCAGGTGATTGTGCGATTTATATAAAAATTACAATATTTTAATAATAACAACATTTAATTAAAGACAATATGACAAAATACAGTAGAATCCGAAACAAATAAAACCACGGGTATTCCATATAATCGAAAATCCGGATAATCGATTTCAAACCCAAAACAAACAGGAATTAAATTTTAATATTTTTTTATTATGTAAAGTGCTTTACATATGGTACATCGTTTAGATAATATTATTTAAAAAAATCCGAGCTATAAAGATAATGGATTAAATAATACCTAATAACCTTATTAATATAAAATACCATTTCGAAATAAGTAATTAGAGCCGGGAAAAATAAGTCCGGATAATCGAATATTCGGATAATCGATTTTCGGATAATCAAGATTATATTGTACAAGTATTTTGAATATTATTATGTAGTTAATAATACCGTTCTATCAAGAAATCACAACAAAAACAGTAAATTATAAAAGATATTTCAGTAAATCGATCCATGTGGTAAAAAACTAATATTATTGGCACATTTATTTTAGTAACATTTAGTAACAATTTGCGTTCATTGATATGCTAAATTTGTTTAGATTATTTTTGAGGTTATTGGTGACCCGAGAGCCGGGAGCTACTTTGCCCAAAAGATAAGTTTAGCAATCCAAACAGGTAATGCTACCAGTATCTTGGATACGCTGCCTCGGTGTGGTGCGTTGGGAGACTATTTATAATCAATTGTTAGTGTTATTATTTAAAATATTGTATAAGTTTAAATTAAATATGATGTTAATTTACATTATTTTTATGTGAAATGTTATGAAATTATTTGTTATGCATAATGATTGCAAATGGCAACTTTTTCATACCATCTGTCATCTTCACCGCATACAAATCCGAGAAAGTACCGGCCCCCCGCACCGGCATACACACTGGCAACACCGGCTCTAGAATAAAATGTCTTTTAAATTTTTTATCCTGTTTGGATGTTTGCATGAGTAACAAGTTAAAGTTGGTCGGATTTGAATGAAATTTTTATTCACGGATAGCTTATATTGTAACTTGTGATAAAAAGATTGTCAGTAATGAGGAGCTTAGTTCACATTGCTAGCAATATAGGTCAGGTCAAACTCCAGACGATCTTCTCTGGAAACAGTCGTTTTAATCCCTAATTAATTTGCCACTATGGTCTAACAGACCTGGCTTCATCTTCATCGTCACATACTTCATTGGTGTCCTGCCACTATTGGTGAGCACTATTCTATTTTCATCCATTAAAAAACTAGTATTGGAAACTGCTGGCCCCCTTCCCCAAATGCCGAGAAGTTGGACATTTTTTTTTAATGGCTGACAATGGAATGGTAACCCCGCCTGCGCTATTGGTATACATGCGCGGGGCATCAGTGAGGGATGACAGGTGTGGATGAAGCAGGTCAGTTAGCCCACCGTGATAAATCTAACAATAAATCAATCGCGATGGTTTCTAGGACGAACCACGAGGTGCTCAACCTGATATAGTATATTGCTAGCAATGGGGCTACTAATCCCAATTACTAACAATCCCCCAAAGTGGGACATTAGTAATTATTAAGATGATAAATGTGGACGTACTTAGGGGGAAAGGGGGTTGTTGGGAAAGGGGTTGTTAGAAATGGGGATTAGTTAGTAACCCTATAAGTAACAAAACACCTTATGACCTGGTGGACCTGCCACCTCCTCGCGGTTCCCCCTGGAAACCATCGTGAATGATTCATTAGTGAATTTGTCACGATGGGCTAACTGACCTGCTTCATCTTCACTTATCATCTCTCACTGGTGCCTCGCCAGTGTATATCGATAGCGCCAGCGGGGTCACTATTCAATTATCATCTATTAAAAAAAAAGTGGACGTACGGCTGTTATCGCTAAGTCCCGTCTCCCCGTGAGTGTTCAGTTCGAGGACGGCGATCGTGGCCTGAGTCACCTTCTGGTAGTCCGGGTGAAGCACGTAATCCTTCACGTCGATCGAGTACTTGAGCGAGTCGCTGTACCACAATATGAACTTCGTGTTGTTCCTGATGAAGAATATTTCATCATCATCTTCCTGACCTTATCCCAATTATGTATTTGAGGTCAACGCAATACTGGCTGGTAATAAGTATAAAAGAAGAATGTATGCCCATAAAAATTCTTAGAGTTATACATTCTGGGGGGAAAGGGATTGTTAGTAATGGAGACTGAGAATCCCATTGCTAGCAATATACCCAACCAGGTCGACCTCCTCGCGGTTCTGCCTAGAAACTATCATGGTTAATTCCTGATGAATTCATCATGATGGGCTAACTGGCCTGTTTTCATTCTCATCTATCACCCTTCACTGGTGCCCCACCAGCGTATCCCGTTAGTGCAGGCGGGGATACCATTCCATTTTCATCCAATAAAAAAAATAGTTATACATTCTTCTTAAATATTAGCTATACCATTATCCTCCAGCTTACTAGAGACACTTTTTCTGGAATACGCTCTTAAAATGTAGTGAGATTTATTCATAAAAACTTAACTGTACTTTCTTAAGTTAACTAATATTAATATTATAGTTTTAAAAGGGTACAATAATTGTGGTTTTAGAACTGGACTTCCAAATAGGTTATATAATAACCCGTGTTAAGGAGCCACAGCCCCAAACTCCTTTAGTATTACGGGGGAATTAATATTGATAGAAAGTAACTTGTATTTGAAATTTGTACAAAAAGTACTTGAAATGTTAGTATAATATCGATAATAGGATATTATATGCTGAAAAAATACTAATAAAAATTTTACATATGGAATAATTTTACATTCGTGTTTCTACCGTGAAGCAGTTGTGTTTGCATGGCTGTGTTTCGGTTTGAAGGGAGGGATATGGCGTGATTTTACAGGGTATAGAGGAATAACACCCGAGTCCTCAGGAATGGCAACGCATGGGGGGTATCATAGACGAAACAGTATACTCTGTTATGTCCATGGTACTGCTCATGTCTATAAGCGACGGTTACCACTTTACATCAGGTGGGCCGTCAGCTTGTTTGCCATTCAAGTTGTATAAAAAAAATACGGTTGCCGTAAAATGCCATGCTAAGAAAACATCATAGGGATTTCAGTGTCTGCAGTGGACAGTTAGCGGTTGATATACCAACTCACATTATGGTCTCCGGCAGTATCTTGGCTATGTCCTCGGCTGGTGCAATGGCGTACGCTGGGTGGACCAGAACACCGGCTGTCACTGCGAATCGTACAGCGCCGCCGATGTCTAAAAAAAACCATAAACACCATGGAATATTCATTATAAACTAAGATTTTGTTCCACAAAAAGAATACCCACTTTAATCATATGGAACAAATAGTTTGATTTAAAAAATAAACCACTGAATGAATTTTGATAAAATTTCTATTAATTGAGAAACTTCCTCAAAAAATCTCAACTCAGCCGATTTAGAAAATAATTTCATAAGATCAATTTGTAAGTACACATATCTTTTTTGGTTTAAATTCACATTTATACATTAAACTTTAACCTATATTGTTACTCTAGGAGACTAACGTACATTCTTTATGTTAAGGATCGTACTATTTAATATATATATATATATATATATATATATATATATATAATATATTTAATCATCTTCCCTTAAACATTAAATGTCAGGATAAGCATATGTTTAAAATTAAACTCAAAGCCTGGCTTTTTGATAATGTTTTTTATAATTTAAATGAATACTTCAATCTTAAAACTAATTAAATTAATAATTAATAATAATTGACATGTAAGCGAAATTATTGTTATTTTATTTTAATTTGGTTATGATTATTCTTTGTCTTGTTAATTGTATTGTATAATATTTCATATTTATTTGTAATCAAGTAATGGTAATAGTATTGAATGTTTCGATGTTAATATAATTACCTGTTCTCAAATTGTTGCATGCCCGATAGGGTATAACTGTTGATACTGATGTCAAATTCAAAGCAATAGTTACTGCTATATGTATGTACACAGTTAGCAATAAAATTCTATTCTATTCTATTCTATTCTATTACTTCAGAATAAAACATATTATTATGCACTGATTAGTATTTCATCGCATCATCATTCATTAATAATAGCAATTGCTCCCCCAGGCGAGCTGCAACCTATAATTCTACCAGATGAGCAAAAAATACATTTACAACATACCTACTCTTAGTCAAGTAAATACCTATATACAGTCCCGTGTAGTCCCGGCATAGAATAGGCCACCATTCCCTTTCCCGTAGGCATCACAAGAGGTGACTAAGCGAACTTAATGGTAAAGGGATGAACGGCTGCGTCCTTCTTAAAATATCACCAAAGCCTAACTGCGGTTGCCAATCTGCCTGCCAAGCGAGGCACCTACTAGCAAAATCCTCAAGGGAAAGGTTAGTTCACTAGTAACCAGTTAACTGCTGATATCATCATCATCAACACATATATCGTTAAGCTAAACCATAGCTTTCATAAAAAAATCACTGCTTTGTTGTTACCAGTAGTTGGTTTGCGCGGATTCTGGCTCACTCGGCGGCTGCCTCCCAAAAAAAGCTCATTCAACAAGATTCGTTCCAATTGAAGGGCGGTTTCTATTGGAATACAGAGAGTAGTTTTTCAATAATACTCGTATTATAACCAAGGTTTTTGTTCCAAATATAGAACTATTATTATTAAAAAAAGTATTTCTTTGAAAAACCGAAAAAAAAAAGAAGGCAGATTGTTAAAATCATGGTTATGTAATATATATGGTGGTATACATGGTAAGTATGCATGGTATACATGGTATATATATATATATATATATATATATATATATATATATATATATATATTATCCTAGTCTAGTATCCGAGTGTCTAGTGTCTGAGTGTCTGAGTGTCTAGTGTCTGAGTGTCTAGTGTCCGAGTGTCTAGTGTCCGAGTGTCTCGTGTCTGAGTGTCTAGTGTCTGAGTGTCTAGTGTCCGAGTGTCTCGTGTCTGAGTGTCTAGTGTCTGAGTGTCTGAGTGTCTAGTGTCCGAGTTACTAGTGTCTGAGTGTCTAGTGTCCGAGTGTCTAGTGTCTGAGTGTCTAATGTCTGAGTGTCTGAGTGTCTAGTGTCCGAGTTACTAGTGTCTGAGTGTCTAGTGTCTGAGTGTCTGAGTGTCTAGTGTCCGAGTGTCTCGTGTCTGAGTGTCTAGTGTCTGAGTGTCTGAGTGTCTAGTGTCCGAGTTACTAGTGTCTGAGTGTCTAGTGTCCGAGTGTCTAGTGTCTGAGTGTCTAATGTCTGAGTGTCTGAGTGTCTAGTGTCCGAGTTACTAGTGTCTGAGTGTCTAGTGTCTGAGTCTAGTGTCTGAGTGTCTGAGTGTCTAGTGTCCGAGTGTCTAGTGTCTAGTGTCTGAGTGTCTAGTGTCTGAGTGTCTAGTGTCCGAGTGTCTAGAGTCCGAGTGTCTAGTGTCTGAGTGTCTAGTGTCCGAGTGTCTAGTGTCTAGTATCTGAGTGTCTGAGTGTCCAGTATCCGAGTGTCTAGTGTCTGAGTGTCTAGTGTCCGAGTGTCTAGTGTCTAGTATCTGAGTGTCTGAGTGTCTAGTATCCGAGTGTCTAGTGTCTGAGTGTCTAGTGTCTGAGTGTCTAGTGTCTGAGTGTCTAGTGTCTGAGTGTCTGAGTGTATAGTGTCTGAGTGTCTAGTGTCCGAGTGTCTAGTGTCTAGTATCTGAGTGTCTGAGTGTCTAGTATCCGAGTGTCTAGTGTCTGAGTGTCTAGTGTCCGAGTGTCTAGTGTCTGAGTGTCTAGTGTCCGAGTGTCTAGTGTCCGAGTGTCTAGTGTCTAATATCTGAGTGTCTGAGTGTCTAGTATCCGAGTGTCTAGTGTCTAGTATCCGAGTGTCTAGTGTCTGAGTGTCTAGTGTCTGAGTGTCTAGTGTCTGAGTGTCTGAGTGTCTAGTGTCTGAGTGTCTAGTGTCTGAGTGTCTAGTGTCTAGTATCTGAGTGTCTGAGTGTCTAGTATCCGAGTGTCTAGTGTCTGAGTGTCTAGTGTCTGAGTGTCTAGTGTCTGAGTGTCTAGTGTCTGAGTGTCTGAGTGTATAGTGTCTGAGTGTCTAGTGTCCGAGTGTCTAGTGTCTAGTATCTGAGTGTCTGAGTGTCTAGTATCCGAGTGTCTAGTGTCTGAGTGTCTAGTGTCCGAGTGTCTAGTGTCTGAGTGTCTAGTGTCCGAGTGTCTAGTGTCCGAGTGTCTAGTGTCTAATATCTGAGTGTCTGAGTGTCTAGTATCCGAGTGTCTAGTGTCTAGTATCCGAGTGTCTAGTGTCTGAGTGTCTAGTGTCTGAGTGTCTAGTGTCTGAGTGTCTGAGTGTCTAGTGTCTGAGTGTCTAGTGTCTGAGTGTCTAGTGTCTGAGTGTCTAGTGTCTGAGTGTCTGAGTGTCTAGTGTCTGAGTGTCTAGTGTCTGAGTGTCTAGTGTCTGAGTGTCTGAGTGTCTAGTGTCTGAGTGTCTAGTGTCTGAGTGTCTAGTGTCTGAGTGTCTAGTGTCTGAGTGTCTGAGTGTCTAGTGTCTGAGTGTCTGAGTGTCTAGTGTCCGAGTGTCTAGTGTCTGAGTGTCTAGTGTCTGAATGTCTAGTGTCCGAGTGTCTAGTGTCTGAGTGTCTAGTGTCCGAGTGTCTAGTGTCTAGTATCTGAGTGTCTGAGTGTCTAGTATCCGAGTGTCTAGTATCTGAGTGTCTAGTGTCTGAGTGTCTAGTGTCTGAGTGTCTAGTGTCTGAGTGTCTGAGTGTCTAGTGTCTGAGTGTCTAGTGTCCGAGTGTCTAGTGTCTGAGTGTCTGAGTGTCTAGTGTCCGAGTTACTAGTGTCTGAGTGTCCATTGTCTGAGTGTCTGAGTGTCTAGTGTCTGAAATTGAAATTGAAATTGAAATCATTTATTTGCTGGAATAAGGTACATTTTTAGGTGTTACTATACAAGAAAAATAGTCCAATCTTATTCTGCCACACTGTAGGCGTGCAAATATAAAAACTTATTAAACAAAACATTAAAATAATTTTATCATAATAACATAAACATTTCCAATAATATTTTGTCACTTTCTGTATCTATTCATGTCAATTCATTGTAATATTAAAAATTAATCATTAAAAATATACACAACACAAAGTGAACACTTATCTAATCATTTATAAATATTTTATCATTTAAAAACTCATTTACTGAGTAATAACATTTATCCATAAATAGCTTGAAGAGCTTTTTTTTGTAATAGAAAAATTATTACAATTTCTGATACTTTCAGGCAAATGATTATATATCCGTATTGCCATGCAGTAAGCGTTAGTACTCAATACATTTAGTCGTTGTGTAGGTACATATAATTTATTTTTACGTCTGTTACTGCGGCTTATAATATCTGTTTTTTAAATAATTGTGAGTGTTTCTTAACAAAAATACACATTTCTAACAGGTAAAGAGAAGGCAAAGGCAGTACTGAGTGTCTAGTGTCCGAGTTACTAGTGTCTGAGTGTCTAGTGTCGGAGTGTCTAGTGTCCGAGTGTCTAGTATCCGAGTGTCTAGTGTCTGAGTGTCTGTGTGACACTAGACACTAGACACTCGGACACTAGACACTCCAACACACTCACGACACTCAGACACTCAGATACTAGACACTCAGACACTAGACACTCAGACACAAGACACTCGGACACTAGACACTCCGACACTCAGACACTAGACACTAGACACTCGGACACTAGACACTCAGAGACTAGACACTCGGACACTAGACACTCCGACACTCAGACACTAGACACTAGACACTCGGACACTAGACACTCAGAGACTAGACACTCGGACACTAGACACTCAGACACTAGACACTCAGACACTCAGACACTAGACACTCAGACACTCAGACACTAGACACTCAGACACTAGTAACTCGGACACTAGACACTCAGACACTAGACACTCAGACACTAGACACTCGGACACTAGACACTCAGACACTAGACACTCAGACACTCAGACACTCAGACACTCAGACACTAGACACTCAGACACTAGACACTCAGACACTAGACACTCAGACACTAGACACTCAGACACTAGACACTCAGACACTAGACACTCAGACACTAGACACTCGGATACTAGACACTCAGACACTAGACACTCGGACACTAGACACTCGGACACTAGACACTCGGACACTCAGACACTAGACACTAGACACTCGGACACTAGACACTCAGACACTCAGATACTAGACACTAGACACTCGGACACT